TCTCTTTCTTTCTTTCTTTCTTCTTCTTTCTTTCTTTCTTTCTTTCTTTCTTCTTCTTTCTTCTTTCTTGTTTTCTTTTTTCCTTCCTTCCTTCCTTCCTTCCTTCCTTCCTTCCTTCCTTCCTCTTCCTTCCTTCCTTCCTTCCTTCCTTCCTTCCTTCCTTCCTTCCTTCCATCCTTCCTTCCTTCCTTCCTTCCCTCCCTCCTTCTTTCTTTCAATTAATTTAATCTGTCATCCCAAAAAGAACTCATCTGGCATAGATAAACTGATCTAAGTCTTATACCAGACTTTCAAATTATTTTCATAATATAAAAAGTTATATCAGGAAAATATATAGAATTTGCAATAGAATAACAACAGAAAATTATTATTCCTTCCAAAGGATTTTAAACACTAAATATTTTCATGTTTATACAACACTCTAGAGCTTGCAAAGAATATAAAATAAACACTATTTTTAAATACTACATTAGAAAAATGTTTCTTATATATCAATGCTTGAGGCCCAAACAATATTTTTTTGTGTAAGATGTAGCATCACCTCTTTTTCTCTCAGGTAATAAAGGTCATCAGAAATAATTGCCTTTACTACTTTGGAAATTGATGGTCAAATGAATAATAGCAGTTATCTCAATCAACATTTCACTCTAAGCTGAAAAGGGTAAAAAATTTTCCTTTTGTGAAAGAATATGCTTACCTGTAGGTCTGTAGAAACTGAAACTCCTGGGCAGTAGAGATCTTGGATCAGATTTGCCTCTTCTAACCAATGGCTTTGTGGTAAGCATCTCTCGCTGTACTAGTGTTATTATTTGTCATTAGTTAAGAACCAGTTTTGAGATCTTCAAAAAGTTGAATGGCATCCTGTGATGATGCCCTATACTTGAGGCACTTTACAGTTTATAAAATGTTTTAATCCAAATGATTGGTTTTCAGATTTCTGACCACCCATTAAGACAGGCAAGGCAAAGACTGTGGTTCTTACTTTCTAAAGGAGAAAATAAAGTCCAAGCAGTGGAGCAAATTGCAGTCCATAGCTCTTAAGAAAGAGCTGACACAAGGACAAAATCTCAAGTTTTTTGAGACTGCATATTTAGTCTACTTCTGTTTTAAGCCTGTGAACATTTGCACTTTAACATCTCCAAAGTCCATGCCTTCTTTTTACTTCCCACTGAGAACTTTGAGATGAACTTTATATAGTTAATGGGTAAAGAATATCATGACAACTAAACATATCAAAAAGCAAAACAGCAATTATACAAAGGCTACCATTACAAACACCTATTAGCCAAGAAATGAGAGTTCTTGGCCTTCTAACTGCATGTTAACTGTGTGTCCTTGGACAAATCAGACGACCCATCTGCACTCAGCTTCCTTATCTATTAGGTGAAATGATTGTGTAAGATCCCTCCTACACATACAACTCTGAAATATTAGTAAAGCAATCCACATTCTTTAAAAGAATCTTGCTATGTTGCTCTCTCTTAAGATTGTTGGAATGAACATCAGACTGCACTAGTACAGCTGCCAATTTTTTTTAACAGTTTGGACTGTGTAGCACTAACTTAAACCCACCTGTGGGAATAGAGTTGGAGGCAATACACCATCTCAGCTTGCACTGTTTGCATTTTCAAAACCACTAAGGGAAGTCGGGCCGAACCTAGTTTTGGAAAAATATAGAAACTCTATATCAAACTTGACAAGAAAGATAACTCTATGCCATATTAATGACTTTTGATCATATTAGTAATTTCCTATTGCGTTGTTTTGGGATTCAGTTATGTTGGCACAAAATAAAAAACAATATGGTTACAATTTAATTTAATCAATTAAGATTCTCCAACATGGGACACAGGTGCATGGTATTTGAATGTGTTTAACTAGTACCGTTTTAAAATTTACATAATTGACAAATTACAGGCTTGATTAGACTGACATCAATAGGCGTGTCTGGCTAATCTGCATTTTCTGAATCTCTCCTGGGAGCCATCTTCTGTGTCTTATCTTCTTTCATTTCCAGGCCTCGATTTTAGCTTGAGGAATTTACAAAGATAAAATAGTCTCACAATCAACAACATCAACTCCATGCCTCTTATTTCTTCTCTCCTCTTCTCCTATTTTTCTGAACTTTAACAAGATGATTATAAAGGACACACATTTCTCAAGAGTATCCAGCATTGCTGCCCACAAACATATCTTTGGATCCAGCAGACAGGCCTGTGGTCAGTGCCTTTTTCGCCTTCTCTTTATAAGGTAAGGTTATCCAGTTCAATTCAGAGGCTGCATGCTGAACTGCTATTTCTTTAATTCCAGAAAGTAGCTTGCCATCCAAACACATAATTAAAGAGGGTAAAAGCATGTGTTACAGAATGGTGATGCAATATTTCGGGGAAGAGTCTGTTGGTAAAATCAGTAACACACCCACCTAGCCACTACCATATTTGTCTAACAGAGGCTATTTTTCCTACTTTGTGAACATTTAAGGTCAAGACTATTAATTGTTTCTATAAATATAGTTTGTGTCCAAGATTTTTCCGTATCAAAATTAATCGCACATACCCTAATGAATACAAAACTATGTAGAATGCCAGAGGACTCATGTGTCAGTTTCCATGGTGTAAAGAACTTGCCAATGACCTTTATCAAGTTATTAAATCTCTCTTTGCTTTAGAATTCTGGACTGTAATCTGTAAAATGGAATGCGTAACTCCTACTTTGTTTTCAGGGAATCATAATTAAAAATTTTTTAAATGAATCTTAAGCCTTTTAGGAAAAAGGTTTCTACAAATGCATGGTATTTTCCCACTAATTAATTTACATTTGTCATCCTAGCAGTTAATTTCTTCTCCTATGTTTAAATTAGATTTTTAGAGATGTAAGTTTCCAAAGTACTTCATTTAAAGAAATGTCTTGACAATTTCTACTAAAAATCACTTTTCTTCTTAAAGTGTATCTGTTGAAATTTTAAAAGAACAATAAAGAGTGTTAATCAGAAACGGTCAAGAAACTTTTGCCTTCTTTGTAGTTTAATAGGGAGTACATTTTATTCCCTCAGCATCATTTTATTTATTGTTGAAACTAGAAGCAATTTTTTACCAAGGAACTTTTAAAACCAATTACTGATGTACACTTAAATTACTGTCTATCTTCCCTCTGCTCCCACATACAAAAGCTATGTATCCTTCCTGGAAAGTATAGTATAAGGAGGGGAAATTAGAAATATAGAAAAAAAACACAAATATTTCATGCACTTCTAATTGCAGGGTTACATTAGTATTACTAAAAAACTTTATTTTCAATGATGACTCCAAAGGAAAGCAAACCCAGGAGCGGATGAGTAATAATTAACATCTAATTGGAAAGTTTTGTGTATGTTACTTTTTAAGAAAATTTGGAAGACTTTTCTGTACTGATCTTTCTGGTAAAGGAGCCCTGAGAGAAGGCAGGAATGTGATGTGCTGATCCTTCACACCGTCTGTAGCTATACACACCCCCGACCCTTTGAGAATATAACTCTGGGAAGAACAGTTTGAATCATACCACCTCCTTCCATGTCTATAGTGTTTCAAGAAGTCAAAGTAGTTTTAAAACAAATCTTGGGAGAATTAAGACCATCTAAACTTATTTTTCTAGACTTTTCTACACGTTTACCAGGATGAACTCCCAGCAGACTTGTCTTTTCTGAAAAGAATAGAACTTGTCATCTGCTGACAGAAGCTGAAGGACAGGCTTACACACCCTTTCTCTGAGTCTGTATAGAGAAATTGTAGTTGAGAATTAATAACATTCACATGATTCTGTTCAAGTTCCTTTGGAAACTGTAAAAATGGATATTGGGCATTTCTGTGTGAAAATCACCTTTGACATGTCACTGATATGAAAGACATGGTTAGAAAGGAGAAAAGGACCCTGGGGGTGGGTTGGAGGGGGGAAGAAGGAATTACATGGCTGATGAACCATTTCAGAAAAACCAGTTTCCCCAAGGAGCATCTTAACTTTTTATTTTATTTTGCCTATGTAAATAGAGCCTCCACAAGCTTTTTTTCTTCTTTCTCCTCTTTCTCCCCTCTGGAATGAAATTCTCATTTTTCTGTGGCTGCATTTCTGAATGTAGCAATTTCGAAATTTATTTTATATTCAATTTACTCAACTTATTATATAGGTCTTATTTATCTGTATTTTTATTTTGGTAAATGTGAGGTCAACCATAATAAGATTCAAGGACAGGTATAATGGAGGGGCAACTTATCAACATTTAACCATCTTCAAAAAAGAGAACTTCCTAAAAGCATTCCTTTCATTGCCCTCATCTGGCATGTTTCTTTTTGTTAGGATCAAAGATTTGACAGAGATGAAAGACCTTCAACTTTACACAGAAATATATATCAACCAGGAAGAACTCCTTAAGTGGAAACATTCCTACAACAGTTTCCTTTATTTCCATCTCTTTATCTAATAAATTTTCTCAGACACCTTAAAAATGGAATGGAAGAAAGGAAATATTCTTTGTAGGCAATTTAGATTATGGCTGCATTCAACAAGCAGATTGAGAAAATATAGTCAGCATAGCTACTTTTTAAAAATTTGCAAATTTGGGTCTTGTAGACCAGAAATTCAGATGACTAGGAAATACTCCATTGTTATTAAGATATTTGGTACCATATTGAAATAAAACCGGCATAACTTATTGGTCAGACAATTAGTAGAAAGGTACAATTGAAAGTTGCTTTAGGCTTCCTTAATGTTCCCAATGATCCCTCTGTACCACTGAGGACAAGCCACGTCCAAATCATTTCTAATTCTGATCTTTTATTTTTTTCAGACATATGAGTAGTTCTGTAACCTATAGAAGAAGACGTGCATATTATTAGTATCTTATTTGCAGGGAACAGTTACAAATTCATATTTGTTTTGTCTTATTATGAAATTTTTATTTTTAGCATAAAAACCAGCACATAAAGATACAGAAGAGAAGAAATTAAATTTGCTTACAAGCCCCTTTTCTCCACCACTCAGAAATAGTCATCTCCTGCTGCCCTGGAGTGGTGGGAGATTCAAGTGAAGCTGGGATTGGAGTATATGTCCATGGGAGGACTGGAGATCAGGCCTTGAATCTTCCTAGGAGACAAGATATTCAAATAGAAACCTATTAAGGTGTAGAGTATATATGTCAAACTAAAAAACAATCTGTGCAGCAAAGGAAATAATGAACAAAATGAAAAGGCAGATCATAGAATGGAAGAAAATATTTGCAAATCACTTATCCAGTAAGGGATTAATATCCAAATATATAAAGGACTCATACAACACAGTAGTAAAAACCCAAATAACCTGATTAAAAAATGAGCGGAAGACTTGAATAGATATTTTTCCAAAGAAGACACAGTGAAAAGGTGCTCAGCATCACAAATCATGAGGCAAATGCAAATCAAAGCCACAGTGAAATATCACCTCAGGTGTGTTAGGATGGCTATTATCAAAAGGTCAAAAAACAGCAGGTGTTGGTAAAGATGTGAAGAAATGGGAACTTTTATATACTGTCAATGGAAATGTAAATTATTACGGGCATTATGGAAACAGTATGGAGCTTCCTCAAGAAAGTAAAACTGCCATATGATCTAGCAAGCCGACTTCTGGGTGTATATCCAAAGAAGATAAAATCACTATCTCAAAGTTCACTGCAACATTATTAATATTAGCCAAGATTCAGAAACAACCTAAGTGTCTGATGATGAGTTAATGGATAAAGAAAATGTGGTGTATGTGTGTATAATATGTATATATTGTATGCATATATAATGAAATACCATTCAGCCTTTAAAAAGAAGGATATTTTGCCATTTGCAAGAACATAGATGAACTTAAAGGAAATACATCAAGCAAAATAAGCTAGACAAGAAAGATATATACCATATGATCTCACTTACATGTAGAGTCTAATAAAAAGTAAGACTTCTAGAACCAGAGTAGAATTCTGGTTACAAAAAAAAAAAAAAAAAAAGAAAAGAAAAGAAAAGAAAGAAAAAAAAGAAAAAAAGAATTCTGGTTACCATGGGCTGGGGGTGGAGGAATTGGGAATTGGAGAGATGTTGGTCAAAGGGTACAAACTTTTAGTTAGGATGAGTAAGTTCTGGAGACCTAAGGTACAGCATAGTAGCTACAATGAATAGTAATATGTTGTATACTTGAAATTTGGTAAGAGGGTTCTCATTGTGGGGGTGGGGGTAGGGGGAAGAGTAACTGTGAGGAGATGGGTATATGAATATGTTAATTACACTGATTATGGTAATCATTTCACAGTTATACGCATACCAGAACTTTATGTTGTTCGCCTTAAATATACACAACTTATGTCAATCATGGCTCAGTAAAACTTGGGAGAAAAGCCTCTTCTCCAAAGGTTTTACCTTAACAGATAAAACTTAAAAATAAAACATTTTCATAGGAAACTTCTATGTGTCTGTCTGGTCTTGGGAGCCTCACCTGAGGGAAATAAAAATCCTGGGCTTTTTTCCCATGAATTTGAGGTTTAAGATCCCTCAAAAGAGAAATCAACTGAAAAAATTAATATTTGTTTGCATCATTTGGCAGAAGCAAATGTCCTACCCATTTTGGAAGGAGTCTCCCTTTATAGAGTTGTTATCAAGAATTTTTGATATTAGGAAAATGAGGTGTGAGATAATATAAAAATGTATGTTTAGAATGACTAAGTACCAGAATAAGGAATCAAAACATAAAGAGAACAATAGCAAACTATGAAAAAGAATAGACTCATTTGAGAAAGAACAAAATAGAAATTCTAGAAATGTTTCCTTTGTTTCCCAGAGACCTCTTAATATCAGAGACCTCAAGGTTTAGCTCAGTTCTCTTCTGTATTCCCTCATTGTCTTTTTTTTTAAAGAAAAATTATTACTGTAGTTGACATGCAATGTTATATTACTTTCAGGTGTACAGCATAGTGATTCAACAATTTTATACATTAAAAAGGGCTTACTTACTACAGTGTCTGTTGCCATACAATGTTATTAAAATATTATTGACTATATTCCCCATGCTGTACTTTTTATCTCCATGACTTATTTATTTTATAATTGGAATTTTGTACCTCTATCCCCTTTACCAATTTTGCTCATCCTCCATTTCCTCCCCCTCTGGTAATGACCAGTTTGGTCTCTGTATTTATGAGTCTTTCTGGCTTTGTTTGCTCATTTGAGGGTTTTTAAAAATTTATGACTCCACATATGGGTGAAATCATATGGTAATTATCTTTCTCTGACTTATTTCATTTAGTACATAACCCCCTAGGTACATCTATGTTTGTCATAAATGACAAGAACGTCTTTTTTTTATGGCTGAGTAATATTCCACTGTACATATATACCACATCTTTATTCATTCATCTATTGATGGACACTTAGGCTGCTTCTATATCTTGACTACTATAAATAATGTTGTAGTAAATATAGGCATGCACATATCTTTTCAAATTAGTGTTTTCATTTTCTGTGGATAAACAGTAGTGAAGTTACTGGATGATACGGTATTCCTATTTTTTTAATTTTTTGATCAAACTTCATACTATTTTCCACAGTGGCTATGCCAATTTACATTCCCACCAACAGTGCACAAGAGTTCCCTTTTCTCTGCATCCTCTCCAACATTTGTTATTTCTTGTCTTTTTGATACTAGCCATTCTGACAGGGGTGAGGTGATATCTCATTGTAGTTTTGATTTGCATTTTCCTGATGATGAGTGATGTTAAACACCTTTCCATGTGTCTGTTTTTTGTCTGTGTGTTTTTGGAAAAATGTCTGTTTGGATTCTCTGCCCATCTTTAATCAGATTATTTAGGCTATTTTGGTGTTGAGTTGTGTAAGATCTTTATATATTTTGGATACTGACTCCTTATTATAAATATGGTTTGCAAATATCTTCTCCCATTCAGTAGATTGTCTTTTTGTTTTGTTGATGGTTTCCTTTCCTGTGAAAGCCCTTTTTATTTTGGTGTATTCCCAATTTGTTTTTGTTTCTCTTGCCGGAGGAGACATATCAAGGAAAATGTTAATATTGATGTCTAAGAGATTACTGCCTGTGTTCTCTTTTAGGAGTTTCATGATTTCAGATCTGACACCTTGCAGTCTTAATGATCTCTGTAACCTAAACTTCAGATTCCTTCAATACCTCAATTTGAATATTTAATAGAAATCTCAAATTTAATATGTCCATAACTGAACCAGATCTTATTCCCAAATCCGTTTCACCCACAAATATCCCTATCTCAGTTAATAGTTCTATCCTTCCTCTCCTTTGGTCACATCTACATCATGGACCTGTTATTGTTAAATCCTAGTTGGCTCTACTCAGGATATATTTAAAATTGTGCCACTTCTCACCACCTTTATTGCTCTCACTATATTCTAAGCCCCTACCATCCTGCCTCTCCTAGATTACTGTTCTCCTGGATTCCATCCTTGAGTCATATAGATTGGACTCAACGTAGTGGTCAGAAGTAAACTAGATTCTGTTGTTTTTGCTCAGAATCTTCGATTGTCTGCCCATCTCACTCAGAGTAAAATCCAAAGTTCTTAAAAGTTCCCACAAAGTTTGGCTAGTTCTGCACAACTACCACCCTCCCTAACTCCCCCCTGCCCTGCCCCCCCATTAATTTCTCATCTCATCCTTGTTTCCTTACTCCCTCTGCTGAAGCCATGCTGGTCTCCTCACTGTTCCTCAGAATTCTGGGTCTTGGGTTAGCTATTTCATTTACCTGGAATCTCCTCCCCTAAGGATCCTCACAGCTCCTCTCTCACCTTTTTTCAGATCTTAGCTAAAACATCAGCCCCTCTGAGAGCCCTTTCATGACCACCCTGTTTAAAATTGCTCCCCCTTCCCTATACTCCATAGCCCTTGATCTTTATTTTTCTTTTGGAAATTAGTCCAACTACAGTTGGACTATATAGTCCATAACTATAACTATAGTCTACTATAATTTACTGATGTGTTTCTTGTCTCCCCAAACAGAATACAAGCTCCAGGTGGGTGTAGCTTTTGTATGCTTTGTTCACTGCTAATGAGATTAAAAAATAAACTTTGATGAGCTTGTCGCTATTGATCTAAATTGCATGTTGTTTTAGGATTCTTGAGAAGAGAACAGACTATTTTAAGTAGAGTTTCTTTTCTTTTTTTCTTTTAGAGCAGTTTTTTTTAAAGATTTTATTTGTTTATTCATGAGAGAGAGAGAGGCAGAGACACAGGCAGAGGGAGAAGCAGGCTCCATGCAGGGAGCCTGATGTGGGACTCGATCCCGGGACTCCAGGGTCACGCTGTGAGTCAAAGGCAGACACTCAACCGCTGAGCCACCCAGGCATCCCTTAAGTAGAGTTTCTTCCCTAACCAGAGTTGGGCTGTGAAAAAAAATAAAAAAAAAATACTATCTAAAGGGTGATGAGAAAAGGTTGAATATTTTAAAGCAGAGAACTGCAGCAGAGGGCTTTATTGGTAAAGGTGGAAATACTGGTAATAGTTGTCACTTTGAGTTAGAAGATGACAAGTTTGTTCTTTATTTTGTAAGTAGTGTCTTTTTAAATATTTAACACAAAATGTCTTTTAAGTGCGGCAACTGGGTGGCTCAGTGGTTGGGCATTTGCCTTTGGCTCAGGTTGTGATCCTGGGGTCCTGGGATCAAGTTCTGCATCAGACTCCCCACAGGGAGTCTGCTTCTTCCTCTGCCTATGCCTCTGCTTCTCTCTCTGTGTCTGTCATAAATAAATAAATAAAATGTTTTTTAAAATGTCTGTAAGCAATTTGACTTTAGATATGCAGTTTGGTTTAGATTGAAAAATTTTCTCTTTTGATTACTCTCAGATTAGTTATAAAATATTCTCAAGTTTAAAGGTAGTATTATAAAAAATTTTTAATTTATGCATTTTATAAAAACATTCAGACACTAGTGACTTTAGGAAAAATGAGTCTCTCCCAATTCCTTCAAAACTAAGCTTTAAACACTTTCAGTTTAGTTTTTCCCTTGTCTGTTGTGAAATGCTTTTTATCACAGGAAAAAGTGATAAAAATCTGATAGATTTTTGCTGAGAATATACTTATTCTTAATTGTAAAAAGG